AATATATATATATATATATATATATATATATATATATATATATATATATATATATATATATATATATATATATATATATATATATAGGGAAGGGATCAGGTGCATTTGTTGCTTCCCGTGCGGTTGTGCGGTGGATTAATGTGCGTGAGTGTTGTGCTTAATATGCCTGAGATTTGTACTTAATGTGCGTCATGTTAATATGCGTGAGTTTTGTACTTAATGTGCCTGAGTATAGTGCTTAATATGCGTGAGATTTGTGCTTAATGTGCGTGAGTAGTTCCCGAAAACAATACTCCCAAACGCTCCATTCAAAAGACGGTGTCCAGATCGGGTTTCCATATATGGTGGTATTCACTATTCAGGGCACTTACAAAACCATTATATTGTGTTTGGGGCGGTTATCATGGTGGTGGTTGAATTGAGACGAAAAGTAAAGTGGGTTTGGAGAGTAGAAAACAATGATTTCGGCCGGGAAATTGGGTGGTGGTGGACGGGAACCTTTCAACTGCACGAAAACATGGATCATCATCATCAGGGAGGAGGCAATGGCTACTGGGGATGGGGAAGAAGCTGATATCCATATTTTCTGCTGCATTTTACACATTCACGCACATTAAGTACAAATCTCAAACACATTAGACATAATACTCACGCACATTGAGTACAAATCTCACGCACATTAATAACCGCACAACTGCACGGGAAGCATTCAACCGCACGGGAACCTTTCACTATATATATATATATATATATATATATATATATATATATATATATATATATATACACACACACACACACACACACACACACACAAATATATATATATATATATATATATATATATATATATATATATATATATATATATATATATATATATATATATATATATATATAAATCAGACCACCATGGTTATATGCATGAATATCTACGGAAAAGATATATATACATATCAACCAAATGGAATTTATAATCCACAGATTATAATTTCAACCAAACTAAATAAAAAAGAGAGGATTTTTGCTTAGAAGCATAATCCAAAACCACATAAGAAGAAGAAAAAAAGGCTCGTGTTTGGGTATAGGGTTTTTAGTGCGAGTCAAGAGATCACTCTTTCCTTAAAACCTTATATGTCACCCCCAAAAGTGCTAGGAGCATTGTGGCCTAGGTTTCCCAGGATAAAACGTGCTACGGTTCGACGTTTGAGCACCCAAACGAACGAACCCAGCGAACTAGAGCAAAACCTTGAACACAGTTAGGCAAAGAAAGGAGTAGAAGCAGAGTTTTGAGGAGAGAAAAACACTTCCTGTGTTGTGTGTTCTTGTCACTATGCTTCCCTCTATCCCTTCTTATATAGGGATGTAAGACGTTAATAGCATTCAACAAGGCCATTTGAACTTGGCTTTGTAACATCTAAAACAGCAAGCCATTACCCAGGATTTAAATTCAAAATTGAAATTGGAGTTAATTGAAAATTAAATCCGTAACTGAAGAATTTAATCCCACGGGCATGGCTTAGTTTCGGCCCCCAGGCCGAAACCATACTACTCAGTTTCGGCCTCTCAGGCCGATGCCTGCAGGTGCCGGCGCACGCGAGATTAGGCTTGAGCCAAGCCGTTTCGATCTCGTTTCTAGTTGGAATTTCCACCCCCCCCACCCCCACCCCCCCCCCCCCCGCGAGAGAGCCTCTATGCTATACAATTCTACAAGCTCTAAAAGAGCTCTTGTATAAAAGAATGGGGGGAGGGGCAAATCCTCTTCTGAAATCAATGTGGGACAAAAGCTCACTTTTTCCCTCCATTTTTCCAACTCAAATGGGTCTACTTTGAGAATCAATATCTCATTCACCCATTATCCGTTTTGAGCGTACAATATATCAATATCTTCGTCTCACTACGAAGAACCCGAATCCACTTTGACCCGACCCAAATCGAAAGTGGACCCCACTAATAATTGTACCACAAAATAGCCACTTAAAATGCCATTTTAATGTTATTTTTCCAACAAGTCTTGGGTACGTTTGACCAAATCACTAAAGAAGCTTTAAGTTCCTCCAAAGAATTCAGCTTCAAATTTGTGAAATAGTCTGCGAATAAGTTTTCTGTAGCATTGCTAGGGAAGTTGTTTCTATGTCTGACTGTAATGAATGTTTGACCATTCTATCGATCTTTATTGTAAACGTTTCAGCCTATGATTAATGAATTAGCTTCTTTATTTTCAAAAAAAAAAAATCAAAGTATATCAATTCAAGATTATATAGGAGAATTTCATTATAATTGGCATTAAAATTAATGTTTAATTTGCACTTTTTTAAAAATAATTATCTAAATACTTATAATAGTTGGTATGGTATTAGGTAGTAGATACTACTTTTGGTTGGAATTACTCTAAGTTTTGTTAATTCGTTTTTGGATAGGATTTACATCATTGTCTTCGTCTTCATTGCTTGTCCGCTTCTTTCTTGTTGGTAGTGTCTCGTGTATAATTGAGTTAATGGTGCTATTTTGCAAAAAGAACATATTTTGTGTAATTAATTTTGTTACATTAAAGAAATAGATGCATGGAATCCCTAAGTTGATTCCCTTATACTAATATTAATAAAATTGATCCGATCATTTTTTAGCCATTGATCATCCTAGATGGATGGATCAAATTACTCTACACTTATCACGAGAAATCTAGTTCACATTTGATAATGATTATATATATATATATATATATATATATATATATATATATATATATATATATATATATATATATATATATATATATTCTTTGTTCTCCCCCTCCCCCTCCCCCCCTACCACCCGCCCTCACCTGAGCTGAAATCCATTAAACATGGCTTATAACAATTGAATGTCATAAATTGGGGTCTCCATCATAACATGGCTTATAACAATTGTATGTTATGAATTGGGACTCTAGTAACTTATTATCAAAGGCTAAATTATCAAAAGAATAGTGTCATGTCACGAGGGAGATCGATTAGGAGGGTTGGTTAGCATTATTCAAACTTAAAACCTTCCTTATAAAAATCAATGAGTAAGTTAAGAATAATAAATAGTTAACGGAATATTTCGTTACTAAATTTATGTAGGGATATTTAGGAAAAGTAAATGATATAATAGATGGTAAAGAAGAAAAAGGTTCAAATTTAGTTCAACTTAATACCTAAACACAAATTTAACTAGATAGTAACATGAATCCAATTAAAATAATTATTAAGTCAAATCTCAAATAGTTTAATTTACTTCGAACCTTAAAATGTATCAAGTGAAAAAGAAAACAACACCCATCATCCGATATCATTAAGGAAAAAAAAAATACACGACTCTCCTTGGCGTTTGGTTGGGGGAAATTTAAATTCCATACCCATTTAATTCCCACTTAATTTTAAAGGCCACTAAATTCCTTAGTTTGGTGGGTGGTTGGAAGAAATTGTAATTCTCTTATTTTCATGGAATTAAATCCCATGTTCCCCATTGAGATTTTAATTCCGTAGATTTTAAGAAGAAAAAAAAAAAAAAGATAATCATGAGATAAAATTACCCCTCACATTTTTTAACCTAAAATTGATGTCTGGCAACAATGGACATTTTAGACTTTATACTACTTATTCTCTTTCAATCCCTATGTATACCTAACATTGGAATTGAAATTTCCAGTTATTTTATTCCTGTAAACCAAATACTGAAATTTAAATTCCCACTTTATTCCCAGTAATTCATCTCCTATAAAATTGCAATTCTTTTCTCATGTAATTTCCTCTCTCCAACCAAACGCCATGTTAATGTACGTTGGTAAATCCCATTTAAATTATCTATAACTAATTAGCTGAAATCAAGAAGGCTAAGATTAAAAGTTTGTATTCTTAGCCATCTTGGTTAATTGGGAATACATACCCTAATAAGATGTACTATCTTCTTATATATATGGCTGATTGGGAATACATACCCTAATAAGATGTACTATCTTCTTATATATATGGCTGATATTGAATTCCTGTGTACGTACATCTCTCCCACATGCAACGTAGGACCATTTCATCTACCACATTTACTAATTCACATTATCCTTTTTATTCCCAACCATACAAAATTACAAATATACAATGCAAGAAATGAAATTTTGTTCCCTCTCTATATCAATCCCATAGTTTTTGTCCAAAAAGGAGTAAAAATTCGTCCAAAACAGATTAAAAGTCCCAAGTAGGGACTAGGGAGGGGCTCACCACACTGGACGACAACAGCTGACGTCCTCATAAATTCACTATCCCTACAAAAAGCCTGTACCGAAGTAAAAAATAAAATAAAAAATTAAAAATAAAGTAAAACCACTTTACTGATCTTTATCTGTAAGGCGGGTCAGGTCAAAATGAAATATAACACTTTTTTGGCTACTAAACACTCTCTAAAAGTATTACATTTTGCCTTATAAAGAACAAACACTTGTCAATATTACTTATAAGAAAAAATATAATATTTTTGAGGAAAAATGTAATAGTTTTACATCAAAATGTAAAAGTATTACATTTTTCTTCAAAAGTATTACATTTTTCGATCTCTTATAAGTAACAAATATTTTATTTCTAATTAGTATTACATATTTTAGTAAAAGTACGTAGTACATTTATAAATTGATCTGATCTGATTCATCTCACAGATAAGGATCCATAAAACGGTCTCACACTGCAAAAATGTGACCCTTAAAAAAATATATACACTTTTAAATAACATGCAAAGGCCAAGACCTTGTGGTCAAGCGGCATGAAGTGACTCTCCGAAATGTGAGGTCATGGGTTCGAGTGGAGGCGGTATTGACTCATTGGGCTTTAATAGGTTGAAAAAGTATATTTAAATAGATATATAGTACATGTAACACGGCCAATAGTACTAAAAAAAAAAAAAAAAAAAAAGTGCCAAGTTTCTAATATATAAGCGTTGATGGAGATTTGATAATACTTTGAATAAAGTATAATAACATTTTTAAATCATTGTTACTTGATAGACATTAGTTGGTGATGAATTTAGTATCCACTTGAGAGTGGATAGTGCAAATGTAGACCCTAGCTAGTTACCACTCTGATCTCCCTCTCCCTTTTTATATGTATAAATATCCCATCCTCTTCCCTTTTCAACTCCACACAAATTCTCTCTATATATCCCTTCTCATCATTCAATTCCTCTGTGTTTCTTTCTTTCTCTCAAGCATGGCAAAAATGGCTACAATGCTCACCATCCTCAAGTTCTCAATCTTCATCTTTGTTATTATGTTTCAGAATCAGGTTAGTTCAGTACACTACAGTTTCTGCCATTTAGTTAATTTGCATTGTCTTAATTTTAGCTTAATTAATTAGCTTGTTCGAAAATGTTAAGGATTCATAGCAGCTTAACATAGTTGTTGTGATTGATGTTTACTTTTACAGGCTTCAATGGCTGCACATTCATCTACCCCGCAGCCACTGGGTAACAACCGCATGGTAATTAACACTGCACCATTATACTTTTTCTCACCTATAATATAATAATAACTTATCTTAATTAGGACTATGAATTGTAACTACCCATTATAATAATGAACCAGATCGAGTTAGCTAGATTGACTAATGATTGAGAAGAGACACCTCTAATGGGAGGCGTTCAAGTATTCTGACGACAATACGTAATAATAGTAAAATACAATATAATGTTACACGTCTCGAATAATTTATTTTGAAGTATATAATTTTGTCTGATTAACTCATACATTGTGGACTAGTTCACAAGTAATGACTATAAAAAATTGCTAAACTATCATTTTAGACAAATTGTTTAGATTATTACATAACATTATATTCAACTACTATAATTATATATGATTATATTTAATTTCCACTAATATAATTAACTAACATGGTATTTGTTGGAGTGCAGTATGGTGTGACTGAAGGCAGCCTGCGTCCTCAAGGTATGCCAAATAATTTCATTACAATAATTAATTAGTTCAATTAATTAAGACAAATTATTATGATGATTATTATTAAGTAATTAATTAATAACAATTGTTGGGTGGCCGGCCGGCGGCCGGGGGATATATGCAGAGTGCTCGCCGAAGTGCAGTTTCCGGTGCTCGAAGACGGCGTTCAAGAAGCCGTGTTTGTTCTTCTGCCAAAAGTGCTGCGCCAAGTGTCTGTGTGTGCCGCCGGGGACTTACGGCAACAAACAAGTTTGCCCCTGCTACAATAACTGGAAGACCAAGAGAGGAGGCCCCAAATGCCCTTAATTATATATCTATTTCACCACCAATTAATTAACAACATATTTTTTTAAAATTTATATATTATTATAAGTATTTTGTTAAGAAAAACGGATGGGATCATTATCCACCTCCGATCCCTCTCTCATATATTATGGGGAAAATAATTATTATTATAGTATTTCCCTTAGTAGACTAGAGGTCGAAGAAAATGATCTAAGAATATCATCGAATCTGATCCGTTTTTTAGATTTTAATTTAAGTTGAGTTATTGTATGTGCTTGTACTTAAATTTATCAATATTTAGTAACATATCTATCTCTTCATAGTAATTAAAAGTTTATTATATTCACCCTTTTTAAAATAAATTGTATTAATATCTACATTTAATGAGACGGAACTAATAATTCAATCCAGTCTCAATCGATACTCAAATGTCATTACTCATTATAAACCAACTCTTTCATAGTACTTATTTTTGTACGAGTATGTACTCATTTGTGTATAATAATAATAATAATAATAATAATAATAATAATAATACTATTATTATTATTATTATTATTATTATTATTATCAAGTTTAATTTGAACATCATGGAATATATACAAACGTGACACTCTATGCATCTAGATTGATCATATGATGAGTTAATTAAGTGCAGTAGGGTATGGAATATTAAAGCTTCAAAAAAAAATCTCATTAAATAAATATTTTTATATACAAGGGAGACGAAATGAAAAAATAATTCAACCAGTTATAAAACAAGACAACAGTATTCCCACCACGTCAATCATAAGTAGCTAGGGGACAATGACCATCAAGAGGGACATCAAACACATGATGACATAAAGGGCGTTTGATATTTTAAGAAATTGTAATTAAATTTAAATATTTAAAATTTGTAATGGATTTAAGTATAAAAAATAAATAAAAAAAGTCTTTTTGTTTGGTAGTATATAAAATTGAAATTAAAATAAATAAAAACATATAATACATATAAAACACATTTCTTTCTTCCTATTCATTTTTTGATTCTGTTGTTCAAAAATAGAAAATGAATACTATAATGAGTTTTATGATTATTAAAAGATTTGAATCTAATAGTAGCATAAAAAAAAAATAAGTATGCAAACAAACATACTTTTGGTGTGCTGAAGCGTGGTGGCAAAGAGAGCAGGAGATAGCCAGCGGGGTTCCTCCCTCTTCCCTCGACCAAAAAAAAAATGATAGTAAGGTATAAAAATTATCAACTAAATACCATCATAATTGTAAACTCTCGCTATGTGTTGTCATTCAATTAGCCCACACACACACACACACACACACACACACACACACACACACACACACATATATATATATATATATATATATATATATATATATATATATATATATATATATATATATACATATATACATATATATAGGGATGAGATTTCATGCGAAGTAGGTCCCAGGTGAAACATGCAGTGAGATCTGAGACGTTGATCAAATATAGATCAATGACTCAAATCAATGAGAAGAAAAAAAAACGCACGTCCTGAAAAACAGAAGCAAAGTGTAAAAAATTACACACTTTTAAGTTTTACAAAAAAAGCACGTCTTGAAACCCATTGACCGGTCACCCCAAACACATTACCTTATTACAACATTATTTGATCAATTATTCAATTTACAATAAAATCAATTAATTTACAAGTAATGTTAATTTCTTTGTCAACTATTATGTAGTGTGATGACAATTCTGCTACTATTCTAAATAGGTGGTCACATAAACAAACTCTGGTGGTGAATGGTCAAATATGAAACAAATATTACCTTGTAAAGAAGAATGAATATTAAAAAAAAAAAACAAATAAGGTTAATTCACTTTTAATTCCTCAACTTTAAAAAAAAAAAAAAAAAAATTGTAGTCGTCAACTTTAAATTAATCAGATATAGTGCTTAACTTTAAAATTTTGCCATTTTTAATCCTAGTTAGGCATCAAATTTGGTACAAAATCTTATCATTTGATGACTAAAAGTGACAAATTTTTGAAACTCAAAAGTTGTAATAATCAAATGACTAATATTGAATGTAACTCTTTATAAGTTGTATGAAGAGTTGTGATTATTATTTTCAATGACTTTGTGGTTTAATGGCATGAAGTGACTCTCCCAAAAAAATTATTGTAATTAGTATTTTCAAAACTCAACAACTACTTCCACCTTCAAGTTTTTAAAGTCGCATTTATTTTTAAAATTTTTCAATCTTCATTCTTTATTTTTAAAACTAGTATTTGCGCCCGTGCGATGCACGGAATGAATTTGTTGTAATATATTAAGAATATATGAATCGATATATAATTATTTAAATTAGAACATCAAATATTATATAATGTAATTAAAGATATGATTTGAATTGTTTATATATTTTGATGTTATCATTGCTTGAATTTGTGCAAATAATTGCTCAAAGTAATAACTAATGTCTAGATGTACGCATGCGGTCCTATAATTTTAAAGATTTTATTTATCATTGTTTAGTATTTTCATAAATTAGGCAAATGTACTCGTTCTCTAACAATTCAGTTATAGAAATGAATTGCTATCCTTATTCATTCGTATGGAAGTAAGATATATTTTTTTGTTTAGATATATAACAATATTTTCATTTTTAAAAAAATTAATATCACCGATTATATTTACACATTATTGAAACCTCTTTGTAGATGACATTGGTAGTGACAACACAATCTTGTTCATCTTCGTCTAGAGCTAACATCTTCTCCATCAGGACTGCTTACTTGGGTGAAAATATATAATAGTAGAATATCACTCAATTAGTTATCCTTTTATATTTTCAATCAATTCGTAATATCAGATTCATTTTCAGCCAATTATTCTTTTTTATTTTTAGTCAATTAGTCCATTAGAATATCAAATGCAGTGATATTTTTACCTAACTTTCGTTCTATTTTTAATTGATGATGAGGAATTATTATTGAAATATTTCCGTTCCATTTTTAATTTACCTTTACTATTGTTTAAAATATGCATTTACTATTGATAATGTAGAATATTATTATTAGAATATTTTCCTCCAATTTTTATTTTTCATTACATTTTTAATTAAAATGCAATGATCTGACCATTTTTTTAGTCAATTATAGATCTTTTTTATTTACAGTCAATTATTAATATTCATTTACTTTTATATTTTCAATCAATTAGTAATATTAGATTCATTTTCAATCAATTATTCTAATCAATTAGTCAATTAGAATATAGATGCAGTGATATTTTTACATAATTTTGGTTCTATTTTAATTTGATGATGTAGAATATTATTAATGAAATATTTTCGTTCCATTTTAAATTTCTCTTTACTATTTTTTAAAATATGTCTTTACTATTTGATGATGTAAAATATTATTTTTGAGATATTTCCTTTCCATTTCTAATTTTCCTTTACTTCTAACCACACCAAAAAAAAAAAAAAATACTTTGGACTTCTCAATACTTGCCCACATTGATTTTTTTTTGGTAAACTCAGGGTTTTCACCGTCAGACACAATGACTAATTCCCTCGCTGAATTATAAGCACCTATTTTGGGTGGGACAGCTGGCTTAGAGATTTAAGACTATTCCATTCCCAAATCCAAGGATCGAACCCTTGACCTTTGGTTAAGGATGGATAAGTCTCTTACACTCAACCACACCCTCCAAATTGATGGCCAAGCAATTATGTTTGTAAGAGGAACATTGCTTCTCTTATATAGAGGAGCTCCAGAGCTCCTCTTTCCAAACATTTTCAATGTGAGATCAAAATGATCCCACATCATTTACAAAGGGAGCCCGTGACTCCCTTTTGTCTTTTTTTTTTTTAATTTTAATTTTATTATGCATATCGTTTTGTTGTTATTATTATTATTATTATTATTATTATTATTATTATTATTATTATTATTATTATTATTATTATTATTATTATTGACAAATTCGTCATTTTAACAATTTATCTTTAATCAAAACACCAAAAATATTATTTAGTAACTAAGTAATTTGCTCCAAACCGCTAAAAACTAAAATAACACATACATTTTGGGTTAATCTTTCCTAACCCCCACTAATAAATAATAAATAATAAATAAATAAAACTAAAATGAGAAGACAAAGCTAAGATTTATTAAATAAAAACCTTTTGACTTCTCAATACTCGCCACATCGATGGGCAAACAATTATATTTGTACCTCTTATATAGAGGAGCTCAAGAGCTCATCTTTTCAAACATTTTCAATGTAGGGTGAAAATAAACCCACATTTTTTACAAAGGGAGCCTGTGGCTCTCCTTTGTCTTTTTTTTTTTTTTTTTTTTTTTTTTTTTGTTAATTTTAATTTTATTAGGTATATAGTTTTGTTTGGATTATTATTATTATTATTATTATTATTATTATTATTATTATTATTATTATTATTATTATTATTATTATTATTATTATTATTATTATTATTATTATTATTATTACTGTTGTTGTTGTTGTTATTGTAATTTGATTATTTGGTGAATTCTCCAAAATTTTAAAAAAATTCGCATGTTTAACATTTTATATTTAATCAAAACATCAAAAATATTATTTAATAACTTAGCAATTTTGCTAACTGCTAAAAACTAAAACAACACATATACATTTTGGGCTAATCTTAGCCAACCCCCTAATAAATTTAAAAAAAAAAAAAAAAAAAAAAAAAAAAAAAAAAAAAAAAAACCTAAAATAAGAAACCATTAAAATAAGGTTTCTTTAATAAGAGCTTTTTGAAACTTTGGGCTTCAATAGGTTGAGAAAGTTTATATGAACAGATACTACATGTAACACGGTGAATCGAATAGTTATGATGTGGAACCGTGTCGACTTTGCAAGGTGAACATAGTTCTATGTTCATAATTACTGAACTATATGTTCATAAGAGTAAATTCCATTTTTGGTCCTGCGGTTATAGGGGGGGGCGTTTCCAATTTTAGTCCACCTTAATTTTTTTTTCCACTTTATAACCACTATTATTGAATGTGTTCCACTTTTAGTCCCACCGTTAGTGTTTCCACTTCATATTCATAATTATTGAACTCTATATTCACAACTACAAAACTCTATGTTCATAATTACTCAACTATATGTTCATAATTATAAAGGTGTATATTCATAATTTTTAAACTTCATATTCACAATTACTGAATCTTTATATTCATAATTACATAACTATTATTATTATTATTATTATTATTATTATTATTATTATTATTATTATCATTATTATTATTATTATTATTATTATTATTATTAATTTCGATTTAAGATTTA